GCAGAGGATAGGTGTAACATGGGTGTACCTAGGCACACCCACTATCGCTCGCGCGGCTGCCTTCTGGACCAACTGCAGTCTTCGAACAGTCTTCAAGGGCAGCCCCATGTAGAGCACGTGGAAATAATACAGTTTTCTATATTGTGACATTTTAGATGGTTCTAAATCTGTAAATATTTCAACCGCTATTTAACAGTTTAAGGGTTTATATTAAATACCCCCTGAAGAGTTTGGAATGGAGTGGAATGGAATAGAAGTCAATGTGAACATTTTAACAATTACATCAGTAGCTGCACTGACAATCTTCTTGCTTATTAAATTCCCAAGACATGGGAGTATTTGGAAGAGAACCTCCCAGTGCTTCACAGATTAAAATACTGCAGCCTGTAACATGTAAACCTATTGATGCTCTGTGCCAAGTAATGCTTCAGGCCCACTAGTCAACCAGTTTTTAGAAATTAACTTCAGTGCAAGGATTGTTATATAAAATACCTACCCAAAAGAAGCATGCTTTATGAGAAGATAATATGCTGTTCATGTAAAAAGTATACTGGGGAAAATATGACAATGTGACCATTTTTCCAGAAACAGCAGCACAATATTTATTTAAACACCTTTTATATATACATATATATTCTGCGTTGCAGATTAGTTTTAATTTTATACACCTCTATTTACAATAATTCAAAATATTATCTATCTCTGGCAATTATTTACAAATTCAACACTTAACACAGTTCAACATTAACCAGATTCAGTAAGACAGTTACGATAATGGCTTACATGCACCAGTATAAGATCTTCAAAAACATGTCATCTGAGCTCTGTTAATATTTTTTCACAGGTCCCAAAATTAGGGCCCCAATGCCATAAAGACTGCATTTATATTACATACTCATTTTGTTTAACATTTCACCAGCACCAAATTTTGATTTGTTTCAAATATCATACCAATATGCTGGTGGAATATTATCATAAATCAACTCCTTTTGTCAAACAGATCTTCTATAAAATAAGTGGGCTATTTGCTAGCTATGGTTATTGTAAATGAGGTAAAATAGGTTACATAATGCCAGAACAGTAAAAATCCTTCAGAAATCTTGGTTTAATAATAAACCTTTGTATGACAGATAAATAATTGGTCAGATGGAAGGTGTGAAGGGAAAAGAAAATGCTTTTGAAAGATGAGCTTATGTAACTATTGTCAAACAAGCTAGAATTAAACATTGTTAAGTCAGGATATCTGTTTACAAACATTAAAAATTAACATCTCCATTTGCCATCAGTACCTTCTCAGAAATTATTCAAATCCAAGAATAAAGTTTAATGTGACCAAGTTAAGTGAATCAGCTTGCCTTTGAGATGACCTTGCAATAAACAGACTGATTTCAAGTTTCTATATTCTACTTTCCAATCATAAACAACACATTCAAAAATACTAATGAGAATACTGTAAAAAGTAATTTCAAAATGAAGACTAGTTAACGTGTAAAATTTTAAACACTCATGAATATATATCATTTATATATCCCTCGGAATGCCTATTGCAGATAATTGTTTAAACAGAAACATTACAAATTAGTAACCATATGTGTTGATCGTAAGTAAAAATTCAAGTGAAAACAAAATCAAAATTGATAAGCCAGTGTAAATTAGGCTTCCCCCCCACCACTATCTACTGATTTCAAGTATTTTATATGTAGAATAAAGATATTGGGCTGGGTTACACATGATCAACTATTAACTGCATGAATTAATATTATATTGTTAATGCCAGGAGTAATCTTGGTCCCATTTGAAATAAAGCACCCAAAATATTCTGTTTTCTAGTACCAATAGATGCTGCAATTTTAATTCTCTAATATTTAATGCAATCAGCTTTTAAATTTAGGAGTAGAATTCAAAAATTGTACAGAAATGCTTTTGTACTCACTAATATTTATTTACATTGCAAATTAAAGGTCTCAACATAAAATGGATGCTCCTTATTACAAATCATGGAATGACTATACATTTAGAATTGTATTTCTGGGAAGAATAGTAAACCAATTTTGAAAATATATTTTCAAGTTTACAATACTTACTGTGGGCTTGAATATATTTAACAAAAACTATTTAAGGGCTTTAAAAAAAGTTATGCTCCAATCATATATAGCAGTTTATGCAATTCCATACTGCAGCCTTGACAATTCTGACAGAAATTTAAGAAACAATCTCCTAACTTGTACCTCTTGTAGATTTCATTGTATTTAAATTTTACATATGATGGAAATGGGTGTATGAATACATACAAATAACCAATTTTTAAAATCCTGCTTGCTTTTTCGTGGGGATTTGAGTTCGAATATATTATTTTCCACAAAATTTAGTTATATGTTTTAAGTGCAAACTATTTTAAAAATCTTACTGAACATAAAGTGAGGGTTCTTTATAAAAGTACAATACGAAAATATTTGTGGGGAAACAAAAGGGAGAATTAATTGGTTATTCAAAATATTATTTGATGTATTAATCAGCAGAAAACTAGGTTAGATGGATATTCAGGCTACTAGTGGTATCATGTATTTTTATTAAAGCATATTTGAGAAATTAATGATAATTTATTTAAAGAGAATTAAATGAAAGAGAATCAAACCTTTAATTATAAACAAAAATTAAAGGTTTTTATTCGAATGATTCAGTGAATCTTTGGATCATAACCAATGAGTGCAATAATAAAAAGATTTAACAGTACAAATGAACATGAATAATTATAATGGGGTATAATACAGAAGCACTAGTAACAGGAAATGAATTTAATTCCTAATTAATCATGAGTAAACCATGAATAAAAACTTTTGTCAAGCACTTCTTTCTCACTGACATGTTTGTTTGTTATGTTAAACAAATTAGTCTTCAACAGTTGGAATGAGCCAACTTTGGATTCATCTAAGTGATTCTGCATGTATACTCTTATCCTACTACTGTCCCAATATTGCATTTAGTATTAAGAAATGAATCAAATTATTAGTCTTTGGCAATTATTAATTTTAACTGGTTGAATATGAAGTTTTATTTAATTTTAAGTGGTAAAATTATAATGCATGATATGTGATTATCCAGAAATAATTTATAAAACATTTTTTGAAATAATTTATGCAAATAGTATTTAGATTGATTTGTCTTTTCTGCCTATATGTTCCTTAAAGTCTAAAATAAAATTGTTGATTTCATCTCCTTAATTATTTGTTAAAAGTTGCAATTTTTGTACTAATTTAAAAAAATCTGTGGCATTTGGATGGTACTATCGCCGGCACTCAAATTACTCCTTCAAAATGTATTTGTAACAAGAAAATGAAAATCTATTCCCTGAAGATAAATACTGAAAATAATGAAAAAATATTAAACAAACATTTTGAAATATACACATATACATATATGTTTCAGAATATTACATTGATTATAATTACATACCTCTTGCAAACAACAGAGCAATTGATTGTCAACATCTGACAAATAGTACACATCTGTGTGTGTTATTTGTGTGTGTATGTGGTTATACACACACACGCACGCACGCACATATCCATTCCCCAGCAGAAAAAAAAAACTACTTCCCACAAAATAGTGCAAATCAAAAGTCTGAAATTATTATGATTTCCTTATTTCAGTTGTAAAATATAGGAACTTGCCTACTTTAAATCTACAAAGAGCATCAGGATACAAGACACCCAGTTTATGAATCAGATACTATTACTGTATATGTTTGAAAAACACTATATTTTAAACAATGTCTCACTGTGATACAAATTCATCATTCTGGCATAGAATGATGCATAGTTTTACATGAAAGACTTATTAAGAAATCATTGAAACAGCTGCCCATAAATTGCACATCAGCAATGTTTGAAATAGTTTTGTAATCAATGAGATGAATAATCTTATTCTCATATTATTGTCTGTATTATGAAAAAAACCGCAAGCCAGGTCAAATGGTGTAATTAAAATAATCCAGCATTTGGTAATAACCATATAACTATATGCTCACCTTTCCTTTTTTTTTTTACATGTAAAACTAGAGCAAAAGTCATGGCAGCATAATCTTTACAACATGTAATGATTACATATTCCTCCAGAGAGGAAGGCAAGTAAAAATATTATTTCACACTATTGTCCTACCCAATTTTGTTCACAGTTCTTTCTTGTAATCATATTTTCAGATTTTATTTTTATACAGGCATTTCTGTCAACACACGCATAAGATATGAAGATGCTCTTTTTCACTGTGCAACTGGAACGAAATATTGTAAGAACTGCCATTTCTACTTAACAGAAGCTATTATATAACAGGATACGTATAACAATATTTAAATGCAAATATCTGTCATATCCTTCAGAGGATTACTGTTGCCTATAATCCAGTAAAAAGTTTGTAATGGCAAATTACAAGGTTCAATGGAAAGTTCTGACTTTTGTGCCAAACTAATTCTATTTCATTCCCATGTCCCATGTCAATGAATTTTACAAACTACACCGATCTTCACTCAGGCATCACCATTTTTGGTGGAATTATCTTTCCCTTCTTCCTTTTCAAAACTGAGTATTGTAACTCTCTCTCTCTCTCTAGATTACAATGAGTTTACAATGAACCACAATGTACTTTCTGAGTAACACATGAAAGATAGTGACTGAGTCTCTCTATATATTTGGTAAGCATACATGGTAGGTTTACACACTTTTGGATAGTTCGTGGTCAACATTATAAAAAGCTAGTGTGCAATTCAACTTGGGGGAGGGGGGAGAATAGGCAAACCCAAGGTGCTAAGAGGAAAGGAACAATCTCAACCATGAATAAGAAACAAAGAGAGATGTTACATCCTCACTGAGTCTGAACCTTCAAATACAAAACATCAATACAGTGCTTTTAGCAAAAACTTTGGGACAGCTTAGCAGCAGATACATCAACAAATGTTGAAGCAGTATTAGCATGACCTATTAAGAGAACCAATTAATATTCTCAAGTAAGACACAGACATTTAAGAAAAGATATCCAGCAATGTTTCCTCCATCATAAAGACACAGAAACAAGGTAAGCTTCGTACTTGAGTCCACAGTAAGGGAAAAATTGCATATTAAAATAGGAATAGAATCTGAACAATGTGCCAACTCTTTAGAAGAAAAATAAGAAACATAAACCAAAATTGAAAACACGTACATGATGTTATAAATGTGTCAAACGATACTAAAAGCAAAAGAACTAAATACAGAAAACTGTACTACACAGAAGAAAACAATCACTTTACTAATTCTATAAGTCATCACCCCAACATATGTACACATTGTAATTTTAATATGTTGAGTAGATACAATATATATTTTATTCAATATTTAAAAAAATAAACTATAACCTCTTTAAGATGATTTGCACAGTTAAACACATTCCAGTTTGATAGCAAGGCTACCAATCATCAGTATGTAAATTAGACTTTCTGCATATTATGTGCATACAACTACATACAGATTTTTTTAAAAAAACAAGCTTAACTTGTGACTTAAATTTTTCAAAAAGAATGAATAAATTAACTGGTCCGAATTACAGCAATATTTCTTTTCAACTAAGACTTGGTTTTTGCTATGTAGAATACATGGATCTGGATCTTAAAAAGCTACTCTAGGTATAACCACAGGCTTGGTCATCCCAGTAGTTTTGGTTTTTAAATCCTGTCACCTTGGTCATAATCATTTCTGTGATCTTCACACCATTAAATCAGAAGGATGCAACCATAGTTTAATATGTTGCACAATGAACTACTACTTAACACTTGAAAGCCCAAAGTCCCTGGTTATAAAACTATTCATGCAGTTTTCTGTATAATGGTCATAGTTTTCTATTATTAAAAAAGACTGCTGAATTATATGGGAATCATATTAGTTCTCTAGAAAAATAAAGACATACAGCTAGGTTCCTTCTCACTTTTTCTACAGAACAAAGAAACTTTTTTGAAGTTGTCTGTAATGGATGGCTTTAGAGCTCAAGAAGTCTAACCTACATTATACATATTATTCAAAATTATTCTGAATATTCAATAATTACAGTGAATCGCTGGGAAACATTCCTGAGTTTCAATAATATTGGAATTAAATTTGACATTAGCTTTGCTTTAATGAGTGCCTATACAAAGTAACTACTACTTAGTGTAATAGTAATAATTTAAAATGAGGGTTACTTTAGCTACAATTCTTCTGACAAACTCCAGATTCAAATCAAAAGTCAGGAAAAAAGACAAAAGAGAGTAGAAGAACTGGAAACTATCAACTAAACTTAAACGTTTTCTTTAGCAGAATAATGGCACTTGGTAATCTGAACATTTTAATCTTTGACCCTTCTGAAAATAATGTATTATGTTTGAATCTTTTCAACCTATAAATAATTCAAAAGGTTACTTCGGGGAAGGAGGAATATAACTTATATCTGTTCCTTTCATTAACTGTCAACTGAATTCCAGGTCAAAGTACAGCAAAAATATAAGAAGGCCAAACAGCCCCTTTGCTTTCCATGTATACATTACTCTTCAAAACATGATGAACACTTTCTTTAGAATAAGAAATGCAATTTAAAGCAGTGATCTACAGCACAGATATCACGTATTGCTGACACACCACATGCATTCAAGATTAAATTCAACAGTATGCATTCCCAGATTAAAGTGGGGGAGATAATATCTTTAGCTCCCTCACACACACCCGCATTACATTAACTATATGAACTATGACTGCAATGGATTGATCAAAATATAGGCAGTGAATTGTTTCCTTTGGAAAGAGAAAGCTGCCCAAAAAAACCCCACTGCTTGAGAAATGATTTTAAGGAAAACTGATGCCCCAGTATTTCCAGCAGCCACTGCCTCTGTTCCTGGCATTCCCCGCTGGAGAACCACTTGTCCTTTTTGAAGCTTCTGAGTTTGTTCAATGACAAAATTTAGACATTCCACCGCAAGCACCCTGAAAAAATGCCCTCACCTAAACTTCAATTGTTCTTGTAGGTTCCAAAGATTCTCAACTTACAAAAGTAACTTTTTAAAGGAGCATTGATGAGTAGTCATACTTGGGAAAGCCCATGTTCCCATTTTTCTCAATCTTGTTTTAAATGTATTTCATCTTTCAAATTTCTACCATGGAGAGAAACAACCCTGTTTCCTGGGTGGGGAAGACATGTAAACATGGCTCCATAGGCCTTAAAACTGCATTGCAATCTATGCTGTCTACTTACAGCCCATTCATTTCGAAGGAGCAATTTCCTGGTCATAAATACATGTCTCGGGTAGCTGAACATTAAGTTGGGAGGGCGAGGGTGGATGGATGGTAGAGGAAGACTACTCTAATGTTCGTGACAAAGTGCATTTCAACCGCCATCAGAAGCAATGACAATATTCCTCTCCCACAGAATTGATTGCACTAACTCAGAGGTCCAAAAGTCCTACTAGAATCTCTGAGGCACTCTTGGTTCCAAGAGACAAAAAAAAATAATCACAATTCATTAGTCTTTGCAGAACTTTAGACTGAGAAAACTAACCCGTTTACTATTTCTCAGGAAAGCCGAAGCTTTGTTTCGATAGGGATCACATTCTCCATTTCCTCCAATCTTCTCACAGTGACTCACAGTGTTGAAATGGGAACTGATCTGCCTACAATGGATTGCACATCACCCAAGGAGAACCAAAGGCTTGGAAAAGGCATAAAGTATATTTTATACTGTTTTCACAATGACATTTATGGGAGAGGGGGGCGCAAACACGAGGTTTTATTGCTGTTTCAGTACAAAATATAGTATAGTATCTAAATGAATCGGACAAGATCACCAAAAGCCAGGGTTTTCAAACGATAAGATGAAGATTGTAGATGTTGCTCAAAAAAAGAATTGGACAAATGGAAAAAAATATAGGAAGGTAAAAAAAAAAAAGTTAGACTTGGGATATTAGTTGCATATTGAAACTTGGGGATCTGGACTGCTTAGTCAGAGGAGCTCCTGGTGAGTGGACATCTTTGCCATTTCCAGCTTGACTTAACCGGTCCTCTTGTAGACTAATGGTTGAAAAACGATTGGAGTTGCCGGCTGCTAAGTTAGTAACGCCATCACCGCCAATGCCAACATTGGAACCCGTCTGACTACCATTCACATAGTCAAATGATTTACTGGAAGAAGCACTTGCAGTTCGGATCAGGCTTACACTGCTGGCTTTTGGTACCACCTGCCCAGCAGGCAAACTCAAATGTTTCTTTGTGGGAGTAATTTCAATGGCATCTGTACTGAGGTCAATTGACTGTTGCAAGTACTGCTTACGGGCAGATTCTCGAGGGCTGTCTGTGGATTTGGTAGCCAAGATGATCTCCTTATCCTTGGCCAAAAGCCCAGCAACTCCTTTCCTTAAGCTGCTCCTCTGAGATGTGGACGAAGGTTTGGTCCCAGGTGGCTGGCTGCTAAGTGACGCCCCGGAGGAAAACCCTTCATCAGCATCATTGAAATTCACAGATTCTTCTCTTCCACTGACTCCGTCACCATCTGAAAATACCAAAGACCCCAGAGTAAGAAATTACGATACTATGATTCAATTTTAAAAGTGGATAGGATTGCACACAGGTTTTCCTTAAGCAAAATTATGTTGCAAACATTTTGCAGAAACTTAAACTTCAAGTTACAGGTTTTTTTTTTATTATAATTGTTTTTATACTGCAGTCTGGAACAGAATGAATTTCTTACACAATGCTTAAACGGATTGATTTTCTAAAAGATATGCCTACAACTGTGTCCATAAGAATAACCTCTCTCAGAAAGCCATAAACCATTCATCATTTACTACATAACTACTAATATGTAAACTATAATAATAATAAATTTGTATATGGCTATAATACTAGCAGCACTTATTAATAAGCATATTAAATACTGTATAGAGAACTTTTACTTCTGAGGAATGTTTATGATTGTTTTTAATGAATGTAACCAAAAGCACATTCTTCCAGAAGTAAATTCTTGTAGAAATCTTCCTGCCATTCCCAGTGCTAAAGATCAACCTAGAATGGCTGTGCTGGTACATAAAATTAAGTCAGAATTCATTCAGAAAATAGTGGGTTGTTTGGCCACTTTTAATTTGTTTGATTTCATCCCCCCGCCCTAACTCAAATTGTACCTCTGCCTATTCTAAATGCCACAGGGGCAGTTCTACTTCAGTATTTGTAGGGGTTCTTGAAATAGAGATTTTGGTGCATGCAAGTATTCCTGAATGTCAGCATCTGAGTATTATTTTAATTGTGTGTGTATTTAACAATGGGTGCATGTGTCACTGTGAGGTTTTCTAAGAATGTTTTTGCATATCATAGTAGCACTGAATACAAGATGGGTGGCATATAAATTTAGATATACATTTTTAAAAAAAATTCTGGACAGTTTCAAATACTGACCCATTATCATGGAATTAGCACAATGTGGAAGTATTATAAACAAGAGAACAAATTATTTACAAAGCAGAAGCAAGTCTCCATAGCTGATGCTGTGTCTGTAAAATATTATTTTAAGCTAACCAAGTGCTTAACCAGCCTCTCAGATCCTTCTCTCTTCCAATTAACTATTTTGACACCCTTGTTCTAACTTAACACAGTTCTGTTTTGTACAGTAATCCTCAGCTTACAATTATCCTGACATACACCGTTTCTCCCCCCATTTCAAAAACCTCCTCTGCAAAGTAATCGTATTGACAAAGGTAAATATGCAGAATTGAATCTGACAGCTAAGAGAATGCCCATTTTACAGTCTGAAATGATTTTCTTTTCTATTTCCTCGGTAATGTTGATTCTTTTAACTTTAGCATTTTAACATTTCAAACATTAACACAATCGTGCCCTGTAAAATAAGAAGGCTCCTTAGATTAAAAGAAAAACAAATCCTGAGTCTTTTAAAACATTATGTTTAAAAAACAAGCCACAATGCATATGGTATTCTTCACACAAAAAGTTAAAAAGCCACTTGAAATAAAAGCATGTCCTGAAAGCAAAAGTGCCTTTTAGACTCCTTTCTTTGACCACCATGCAAAGCTAAGTGAAAGTGCTTTTTGATTGAGCTCCCACCACCACCTCTCTTAACCCCCTCCTTACTTTAATGGAGGGAACACAATATCCAGAGGTGTTTGTTCCCCAGTCAATTTCCATGGATACATCTCCAGCCTTACAATCAATTTGCAAGGACAAAATGACAGAAAATGGAAGAAATATTGTTGTTTGTCAATGACGTTTGCAACATTACTATTTAGTATAATTAATAAAATTATCCCTTCCGTTGGGAGGAAAGAGTCAGAGAGGCTCGGTGTAAATTTTCTGAATGCCACCACCATGCAGAGGCCAAGGCAATCAGCAGTGCTTGAAAGTGAAAAAGGAGGAAAACAACATGCAAGGTAGGATCCCTCAAGCCATCAATATTCAGAAGTTCAATTTGAGCAATATACAGATTTACTAATCACTATAAATATACCCTTTTGACTTCAATGGGAACAGTCATTTGGGGAAAAGCTTAATTTCCTGACAAAATGTTCAAGTATATTCTGAACCAAAGTCCTTGTAGGCAATAAAGCTTGTCAGAGAAAGAAACAAAATATAAACTCAAAAGGATATTTCAGCCATTTTTTTGACATATTTTTTAAATCAATGCTAGCTGTGCCCTCAACAGGTACATGGTTCATCAATGCTCCCAATATTATTATTCATATTCAAAGCTTCTCTTACATAATCAATGTAAGAGTAGTACATGCACATTAATCCTGTGAGCATTATGATCTACTTTTTATTAATTCACAGAGAATATTTACATAAACTGACCCAAGCATGTTGCAAAAAAGACTGATTATTTATTATACACTTGGAATATTTAAAATCAAGGATAAATAAGTTCAAATGAAAACAATTTTATTAGGATCATAGACCAGCATAAGAAAGATAAGATTGTGTCATTTTGTTTACACAATTTTGAAAAGAAGCAATATTTATCAGTTTCATGCAAAATCAGCAAGAGCACCAAAAGAAAGTAATTTAACAAGCTGTGATTTCCTTTTATGATTAAGAGACCCATCTTTTCCATCCCAGACCACCAAAAGAAAAAGATTCGCTCACAAAAATATGATTTTTTAAAAACTTTTTTAGCAATAGCAATAGCAGTTAGACTTATATACCACTTCATAGGGCTTTCAGCCCTCTCTAAGCGGTTTACAGAGTCAGCATATCGCCCTCACAGTCTGGGTCCTCATTTCACCCACCTCGGAAGGATGGAAGGCTGAGTCAACCTTGAGCCAGTGAGATTTGAACCGCCGAACTGCAGATAGCAGTCAGCTGAAATGGCCTGCAGTACTGCACTTTAACCACGGCGCCATCTCATCTTTTTGTGTAAGTTATGCTCACTTTATTTATCTAGAAAACATTTAGGCAACAACACCTAATCTAAATATATCTAACATATTAAAGAAGTACTGTGGCACCGAAGCAACTCTTTTTGAAAAGAAGATTTGAGAATTTGTTGTGAGAATTTCTGTACCTTCTTCTGGCCATGCACATGCAACATGTAGTTAGTATAACAAAATAATAACAGTAGGAGAAAAGTTGTGGTTAGGGGTCATTTACTGGCTATGCTCAGATTCACTCAGTTCTAGGAGTAAATTCTGAATTTCATGCTTCCATAGCTTTCCAATAATGCCTCTCCTCTTCAGACACCGTGATTTTTCTAATTGCACATGATGGATTCAGATGCAATAAATAAGGAATCCTAATTCTAACGCTAACTCTAAAGGGTTTGTTTGCTTGCTTGATTTGCTATTTAGCTTGTCAGATGCAAGAAAACAGGAGCCAAGAAAGTTAAAATGAATATAGGTTTAATGCGTGCTTTCTACAAGACTCTGAACTACTAACAGTCAAAGGGAAATTGGCAGTAGATAAGAGTCAATGGAATTCAAGGTGGGCTGGACTTAGATCTCTTGTGGGCGCAAAGGGACTCGCGATTGATGATGACATGCTTTACCCTTCCCTTGGGCTCAGCTTGGTCATCTCCCACATAGCTTTCCTTGTAACAACTGTGAAGCATGTACAGCACATAATTATTAGCAAAGTTATAAATTTATAACTATAACTTAGAATGCATTGCTATCGGAAAACTCCTGCACCAGAATCAAGGGGACAGTGGGTTAAGGACGTGCACCGAGTAAAATGAAAATCTCTTAGTAAAGAGTAAAGAATTAACTTGAAGAATACCACTAAACAGGGCTATAAGATTTTTCTCTCTCTTCAAGTTTATACTACCTACTTTGAGACCCAATCCTATAAATAGCATAATGGCAATTTAATTCCACTTAAACCAACGGAACAGGTGATTAAACCATTCATTGAACTGGAAGTTTGGTATATAAAATAGTAAGAGAAAGGCTTCCACCCTCTTCTAATACTAAATTACAGTTAAAGTATTATTTTATATACTTTATATATATTCCAGGTGGTGAAAACAGCATCAATATTTTTACTTGACACATTTTTATTGTATATATACATTTGTATATATACAAATATATTTATTTGTTGTATTTATACATTTGTATATCTACAAATGTATATAGGTATACATTTAGCAGACTTAACATGCTCACTAGCAGGGTGTTCCAGGATGCAATAGAATGAATGGATGACCTTGGAGGATGAGAGAAAGAGATTGCCGATGAAACTATCAAACAAGAGGAGCATAACTGTCAGAGGAAGAAACTTAGGAAGACCTGCCCTTATTCATCAGAGGGTTATAAGTAGCAGTGGAAAGTCTGTACATTCAGACTTTCAAGATTCTATTAAAGTAGTCTTACAATAAAGTAGATTTTGCTCATTTGGTCAGGTTTCCTGTCTGGTTTACCCAGAAGGGCTGACATCAATCTTGCAAATCTGAAGGTACAAAATTCCTGGCTCTCCTAAGTTTTTTTCTCTGATCATTAAGCGACTGCGGTCTCCTCTTATCTGATCGTTCTCTAAGCAGAACCTTTCCCTGATCCCCCAAGATCACCCACACATTACATTACAAAGTGATCCCAAAGTTATCAGGTTATTTTAACCATGCTAAGTTAGATATTATACCAGTGACGTGCGGTGAGGTTTATGGCTGGTGAGGCAGCAATTTCTTTAGACTTGTGGACTTCAACTCCCAGAATTCCACAGCCAGGCATGCTCAGTTCCGATTTAAAGCAACAGCATTTGTTTTTCTCCTTTGCTAAACAAGTTTCCTTCTTTCTTTTTCTTTTCCCTTCCCCTCCTTCTTCCCTCTCTCCCCCCCCTCTCTCTCTCACACACAGACACAAAGTTGCACCAGGATTCAGAAAATTTAGGTTTTCCTCCTCAGCCCATGTTAGCAATACCATGAGCAGCATTTTGGCTGGCAGGTGTAAGTAGAAGTGGAAATTCATTCTACTGAAAACATTGTTTTTGCTTATGATTGGATAATTAAAATTTCAGAAGACCCAAAGGCATAATATTAGAGTGTTATATAGTGCATAAACTAAAGAACTGTCTCAATATGCTCCCTCCCCCCTTTCTCAAACACACACACATACACACACAAAAGTTGCACCAGAAGGATGAAATTTGAATTCCTCCCCCTCCCTCCGACCCATACGGACCTTTTCCAGCTCTTTCAGAGAGGATTTCAACTCTGCTCTTGCCTGCCATCATGAAAAGAAAAAAAAATGTAAAAGGAAAAAGGCAAGAGCTGAGATCAAGCTGAGCTAGTTGCTCCCAGAGTCACCATGGATGACTCTGCTTAGTGCTTAACTGTTTAAAAAAGCCTCTTAAAAAGTGCCCTCTATGGGAGGAGGCAAGAGAATGACGTGCCTCATCTACATTAAGAATTTTTCGGCCTTTAACCCTTACTTAACTCTGCTCGAGTGATCATAAAACGCCAGACTAGATGAGGCATGTCATTCTCCTGCCGCCTAAGCACTAAGCAGAGTCATCCACGGTGACTCTGGCAGCAACTAGCTCAGCCTGACCTCAGCTCTTGCCTTTTTCCTTTTACATTTTTCTTTTCTTTTCATGATGACAGTGGTGAGGCTCTGCCTCCCCTGCCTCCCCTGACTGCACGTCCCTGTATTATACAGATAGTCAAAGTCCAAAGTGTTAGAATAAATAGCTCCAGGCCAAAGCTAGGCATAAAGGGATATGTGCAGAAAGAAGGAAAGAGAAGAAAGTGTACTTGTGGTCAATGGAACATACTCTAAAGCAAAAGGGAATTCTGCTTGGGAAGAAAGAGCCAGGATCCTCCCCAAGCAATGGCTTTACTGACATGCCACCTTATCTCTGTCCTACCCTCTTTTGTGGCTGGTGTCAAGTTGGGCTCCGGTGAGTCATGCTCAGGGGTCCTGAGCATCAGTACGTTCCCTTCTTGCTTGCGTTTGATCCCTAGGTCTGTGGAGCCGTGCAGGATCGGAGATCCGAGAATGCTCATGTCAGCATCATTTGAGAAGTCAAAGCCATCTGGGATTCAACATATAATATTTTAGTGTCTTTCTATTCTTTCCCTAACCGTTATAACCCAGGCAGGGAAATGAAGGTGTACACAGAATACAGACAACCACACCTGTATTTTTCTCAAAGAAAGTTGAACAGCATCATAAAAATAAGTGGATATGATGTGCCGTGTGCGAGAAGACATAAATGCAACACTACTGCAGTGAGGCTGTAGATGATGAAGGATTGGCTAAAATAGGATTAACTGTTTTTATTATGAAGAATTCAGAATGAAAACAAAAAACAGAATATTTAACAAGGAATTTAAAGTTTAATAAAAGTTCATATTTTTTTTGCAGTCTACCATATATTTACCAATATAATTTATTTATTTTTTTAAAAGAATCAAACCTTATCCACCCATAACAGAAATTGGTATGTTTCCAATTTAACATTTGCTTTTCTTTTTGCTGGCAGAGAGGTGAGTTTAAAAGATTTGAAGTTGCTTCCTATGAAAACTAAAAGATTCTTAAATTATCCCCACACAAAATACTTTATTTATTGTTAGGTTTGCAGACCACAGGTCCTGAAAATATGAGTACGAATTAATATTAATGTGCCTTTTACCATTTTATCAATGAAAATACAAAGATAAAATTTGCAATATTGTCTAGCTTATGTTGGTATTTTGGAAGTTTATACATGCACACAGCCTTCTATCCCATTTAAAAAAAAACAGCAACACACATTCCCAAAAGTCAGATATAGATGATAAATCATGAAAGTTGAAAAAGAAAAAAAAGTCATTTTTTTTCGAGATACTATATAGCTGGACGGCCCACAAATTGCAGATACAGTCACACCATCAAAATAATTATCTTCCAACAATTTTTTAAAAAGAAAAAAGATCCAATCCACTGAAAGTAGAAAGTAATTACAAAATTTTTAAAGTGCCATTCAATTTCCGTGACATACCACTTAAATCATTTAGGTTTTTCTAGATATATGAAATAGGAAGAATTCTTATTTCATTATAGTATGCAGTCACAATTACATATTTGTACATATACATAATTATTTTCTGTATGTCTATATACCTGAAACAAATGATCAAACTCAGAAACCAGCATTTGCCAGTGGAGGGGAAAAGATACCATATTACAATTTTCATTTTACATTATAAAGTCTTACCTTCTCTTCTCCAGCGATGTCGGCGGATTGAAGCTGTTGTAATAGCTGTCCGAGAAATTCTTGGCACTGTTGGAGTAACCTCTACTTTCAAAACCTTCTGTCCTCCTTGTGATGCATCAGGAGCATCAAAAGGTAATGAATTCTTCATTGCATTTGCAACCTATTACAACAGTAAAATGCTGTGTAAGTGTCAGGGACAAAAGATCAGATCCATACCTGAAGGTCCATTGAAATTGATTTATGGCTCCTCTTGCCTATGCACAGGAATATTTTCAGCTAAGGGTTAGCACCTGTTAGGAGTTAGATAAGGTAAACAGAATTCAAAGGGGGTTGGACTTAGCTCTAGTGGTGGGATTCAAGCTATTTAACAACCAGTTCCCCCAAAATGTGAGTGCGCGCACATGTGTGGCTTCCGCCACCCAGCAAGGGTGGACCGAGCAGCCTTTTTGGGCCTGTTCCGCTCCATCTCTGCCCTCCAGGGCAGTGGCTGCTTCTCTCGGCTGCTGATCTTACTGGGAGAGAGTGTATCTCTTGTACAATTTAGTAGCTGTGAGCAGCCGCTTTTCTCTAAATCCCATCAGCAAAGCGCACAGCACAGAGAAGCAGCAGCCATATTGAATGCTGCTTTTCTGTGCTGCACGCTTTCCAGATGGGACTTAGAGAAAAGTGCACCTCACAGCTGCTAAATTGCACAAGAGATGCACTCTCCCCCAGGAAGAGCAGCAGCCGAGAGAAGCAGCTGCTGACCCAGAGACCACATGGAGTGTCTTCATGAGCGGCCGAGCCTCGGCAAGGGACGGCTGCAAGATCTCTGCTGCAGCACTTTAGGTAAAAAGAACTGTCCGGTAGTTTGAGACCAGGGGGGGGGGGAGCAGCAGGCAGAGGCCCGGGGCAAGGAGGTTGAGTCCTGGAAATATTCCTTTCTCTTATTTCTCTTTGATCATTTTGACTTTGTACTTCAAAGGCTTCAGCTTGTTTACACAAGAGATAAGGAGAAGAGCATGGGTTGTTTATACAGGTGCTCTTTGGATGCTTCTTTGGCAGCTGGAGAGAAGTGAAAACAAAACCTTGTTTTGAAACTAGAGTAGCAGTGTTTACTAGTTGGAAGAATGGCACAGCTCCAAAAAGAAACCATAACATTACAATAGATTATGTTTGAAATTCAAAAATTATTAGAAATAAC